CAGTCCGACGGAAGGTCGATTCCGCAGCCTCGGCCCACACCCACGGGAAGGAGTCGCGGGCGCGGAGATGAAATAAACACGCTCCTCCTCAGCCAACACCGCCGGGTCCTACAGAAGGCCCGCTCCCCCTGCAGAGAAGGGACTCGCACATCGCACTGTGGTCTTTCTCTCTGGGTTAAATGTTATAGTATTAGGGCCAATAATAGGGTATCGGCTCCTCTTACTTAGAAGTTATTTTATTTCTAGACGACGATCTGTTTGGCATGTTCAAAATCGGCCCCAGGACGAGCCTTCCTCCATTTCCATGAACTATGAAATTACATAGAGGAAGCAATCTTTAAAAGAGAAATGTAGCTTGTAGCCTGAAACCGCATGTTGAGTTTCTGCCTGCAGTGGGTTTTTTCCAATAAAATTACAAACCGTGGGTAACAGAGATTTACAATGGGGTCGCCGATAGGATCTAACTATGGGGAAGCCGTCGGACACGCTCTGCGCAGTGTGGGGACGGGCTGTCTGCACTAAATTATCTTCAGGAAACGAAAACAAAACAGAAAAATGGAAAGCTTGTTGCACTATTAGCATAAAATTAAACTCCTTGAATGCATAATTCTTCCGTATCCAAAGCATTAACGGGTTTTATTCTTAGAGTTCAAAGACCTCCTAATTAATATGCAAACACGGCCTCATTTTATAAGCAAGTTTGTCGCTTTTTTCTTCTTCTCAGAAAAGACACAGTTCTTTGCTGGAGGAAAATGCTATGAAGTTTAGAAACACTAACTAATGTTGAAATAAAAGCAGACACGTCCATATACCCAAAAACTGTAACAACGAAACGCTGAAAGCATATTTTCATTTCTGAAGTCTGTGTAACTGCAAACTGTATGTTTAACCAAACGAGGCCTAGCTTAGGGAGGTTAAATTTTTTATTTTTGTTTTTTAAACGTTTCCATTGATTTCAGAGAGAGGAAGGGAGGGGGAGAGACAGAAACATCAACGATAAGAGTCACTGATTGGCTGCCTCCTGCACGCCCCCTGCTGGGGATCGAGCCCACAACCCTGGCATGTGCCCTGACCGGGAATCAAACCGCGATCTCCCGGCTCACAGGTCAACCGCTGAGCCATGCCGGCTGGGCAGGAAGATTAAGTCTACAAAACCTAAAGAGAAAGCACACAGTCTCTCCAGAAAGGTTTACCTACTGGTATAATCATTTTATTATCTATTAAAAAGAAAGAAAATCCAATAGAAAGAGCAACTCTGGAGCTAGTAGTATAAATTTAAATTTCATGGCTCCAAATCTAATTTTAAAAAGCGGGCTCCTTCCCCGTTAGTGGCCTGTCACCAAGGTTTTCACCACGGCTGTGGCCTCGGGGGCAGCGAGATCCGTACCTGCATCTCTCCATGGCAGCCCTTTAAATAGGTGGCAGCTCCAGGCCCATCGCTGCCCTTCATTTCCCAAGGTGCTTGAACAATTTATCAAAAATCATAACTTCTCCTGCTCCCCTGGAAGCAGGGGAGTGAGGGTAGAGTCGGAGGAAAATGCGCGGCTAATCCTGGGAGACCAGGGATAGTTTCAGTAACAAGACCAACAAGGACGACACTGGGACGGTCACCGAGTCCGCTTAGTCTCATTGGCTGTGCGGGGCTGGGACACCTAGGTCATGTTCTCGGGCAGAGAGCGAGAACAAGTGTTTAGAGCTGGGCGAGAGGTCAGCACCTGAGCCGTAAAACTGAGGCCCAGCTACACAGAGGGGATAAAGCTTTGCAAATGGTCGCGGTTCCCGAGGAATGGCGAAGGGGAAGAATACATACATGCGTCTTGGGAAATCACTAGCTCTTCATAACAGGGCTCTCTTACTTGCCCGAAAGGTCTATTGCTGAGATTAGCAGAGGCCAGTAACCCTCAATGACAGCGAAGCAGGTGAGCAGGCCCCTCAAAATGCACTAGTTGGGGTTCACCTGGGAGGGAGCTCTGTTCCAGAACTCCCTCCTAGCATCACTTCAGGGTGTCTGTTGCCAACAGTGAACTGAGCAAACACCAGTTTAGAGCTCTGGAAAGATGCCCCAAAGCAAGTGAGTTCACTTAAAAAAAAAAAAAATCAATATCTGTCCTCGAGTCCACATTTTTTACCCTCTTATGCCCATAGAAACGTAGCTTTTTGCACAATCTATCACTGTGGCCCGTTCTGACTCAAGAGAAGCCATTCAGGCCAAAGCAAACTACAGTTTGTCAAGCTGTTAACTTGTTTGGTAGACGGTATCTTTCTTACCAGCGCTCCCAACACCCACATCAGTATTTACTGTTTTGTAGCTGTGAACGCATGGGAGGAAGAGACTGACACAGTTAAGCAGATACGAACTGAAAGGCTCCTCCCTCTAATACTGAGTCCACAGACGGGATATTTCTTGAGAGGCATGGTGGTTAATTTTACCTGTCAACTTGTCTGGGCCACATTGCCCGGATGTGTGGTCTAACATTATCCTGGATGTTCCTGGGAGGGTGCTCTGGAGTGAGTTTTACATTTAAATCACTGGACTTTGAGGAAAGCAGATTGCCCTCCATATGTGGGTGGGCCTCATCCAATCAGTTGAAGACATGAATAGAACCAAAGACTGGCCCCCCTCAAGCAAGAGGAATTCTGCCAGCGGACAGTCTTCAGACTTCAGCTGCAGTCTTGGCCATTCCCTGGTCTCCAGCCTCCCAGCCAACTCTGCAGATCTGGGATTTGCCACCCACTATAACGCTAAAGCCAACTTCTTAACAGAAATATATATCCTGTTGGCCGTTTCTCTGGAAAACCCTGACTAATAACAGAGGAATGGAAGGAGGAAAGCAACATCACACCAGGTGACCTGAAGAAACTGAAACATATGACCAAGATTGTTGGGGAAAAAGCTATTTAGCCAAAAAACAAATGGTGGGAAGCAAACTGAGGCTTTAGATGAGCTGAAATGACAAAATATTTTTTATTTCAATGGACTCTCTAGTCTTACGGTTAGTCAGCAAGTATCGTGATGATCTGGGACCCCAATGAAAGCAACTGTAAATTAAATTCCATAGAACCTCTTTGGTTGGTATTTAATCTAACGAAAGATTTATGCAATTCTACAAAGAAATCAGTGTTACATTTTTCTTAACACTCAACTTAAAACATCAGACATAATAAGATAAATGGGAGAAAATCATGATCAAATGCTAAAAATGTAAACATGAGAAATGTAAACATGGAAACAAATCTCTTTTTAAAAGTTGTTTCATTACAAGAAAATTAGCCAGAAAATTGCACAGTTGCAAACAAATCCTCTACGTGAACACAAGGGCTCGTTCGCCATCGTCTTTTTATAGTTATCTCACAAGGAATTTTCCACCCACTAAACCCAGCCTTAACTGCCATAAAAAAACAAACACGCAGGCGTTGTTACTGTGTAATATTCCACATGCAGAATCCGCTTTTGTACCACTTTGCTTCACAGAAACTTTAAAATCATTCCTTTCTGAGTTATTTCAGTCATCCACCCCCAAAATCCAATGCAAACAACAAAAAAACTGAAAAACACGGCTGTTTCCCAAAGAAAAGGCCTGTCTCCCATCTCATTTCACCAGCCGGAGGACAAACTCGGAGAACAGCTCAGCAAGTCCCGCGGTTTCAAATTCCTCCTGTAACTCATCCAACGATGAAAACTCCTTGACTTCGAACCCCAGGAACCTGCACGGCACAAAAGAAACTGGTGAATGAGCCGAACGTGTCCGAACGTAATCGGCGACCGGGTGGCCCGGGGGCCCGCAGCGGGAATGAACAATAAATACCTCGTGTGTTCCGGCTGCACCCTGGTTTCCAACAGCACGCTGGCCATTCTCTCTCTGCATTTCTTCCCGCTCGAGTCCACGTCGACTTTGGAGGTTTTCTGAAGCACCAAGTACTCCTAGACGACAAGGCAGGACGTCAGGGGCGCCTTGCGCTCTGAGTCCCAAGTCCTGGTTCGCAGGGAGCCGTGCACCTGCCGGCTGAGCTTCCTGCCTCGGGGGCCCTCTCCCCTGGATCAGGCGGTGAGAGGTGGCGTGTTTTTACACCCTGGGCGGCACGAAGGGCTGGGGACCAGGAGGTAAGAGTGATGCCATCAGCTGACTCGGGTTTAATCCTGGACTGGGTGCCTCCCAGCTCTGGCCCTGGGCTGGCTACCTATGCCCTCTGGGCCTCGGGCACCTGCTCCCCACCTATGGCGAAGTCTCCTGATTCAGTGAGTTGACACGTGCAAAGCGCTAACAGTACCAGCCTCGGCCACCGTTACTGTTATCACGCCAGCGTCTGAGTGGCGCTCGAGGTGCACGGCCCCCCCTTCCCAATGGACGGTGTCTGTTAACAGGGATCTGTAACTCTCGGTTCTCATCTGCAGCCTTATAAACATCTAACAGACATATGTACGTTAAATGGCATTTCGGGGACAGTTAATAAAAAAGAAATAACTCCTTTAAAAGTGCAATTTCCCTACAGTAGCCGAGCCCTAGTCATATGAATACTTGTTAATTAATTGATGGATCCAGTCGAACATCTGCCCGGCGGCTGCATTCAGCCAAGACTCCTGGGCTGCCTAAGAGAAAAACCGGAGCCTTTGGGGAAATACGAGCAAGAAAAATAACTTGCATCCATCTTGCCAGCCAGTACCTTACCCGAAAGGACCAGGTTTTATAGATCTATTATAAATCACCTAAAATATGTGGCTCTTAGGTCAGACCCCAAGCCCGGGTCTGCATTAAACCTGAGCTGTTCGCTGTCGCTCGCTACCCGCTGTACCCAGCGCTGAGCTGGGTAACCGGGCGCCGGACGGGTTTGGTGCGGAGAAATCCTTAAGATCATGGCCTGTGCAGCCTCCGTCTGCTTTCAATAAATTCAGCCGCGCTGATTCCCGACCCGGGCCCTCTGAAAGCAAAAGCTCACTCGGCGATTGCGGCTCTTTAAGGTGTGAGCTGTAACAAGCCCTTCCCTCGCCTGGGCCCACAGAGCACAGGTGAGGCGAGTTCAGAGCGAGGACCTGAGACGGGTCGGGCGGGAAGCCAGCGGGCGGCAACGGCCTGATGATCCCCTGCACCCACGGGGCACCCCGACTCGCCGGGGGGGACGGGCTCCTCTCTCCGGCCATCACAGGGAGCCAACTAGAGTCAGACTGTCCCTTTCACTGCCACAAAGCACCATTTTTGCAGAGCCCCGCAAGCCTACGCCTCCGAGCCTCACTCAGGGAGGAAACGTAACTGGGCAGCAACCTGGGGTGCGGGCGGACACAGCTGAGGCCGTTACAGGGCAAACACCAGTTCCCAGAGACGTCCGATGGCCTCTCCCCACGCGGAGAGGCGTGACTTTTAAACAGAACCTTATACTTAATCTTCAAGCTTTTCAAGTGCGTGGTTTTAATTAGAAGTTAAAGATACTCTTTAAAAACAGGGGCCTGCGGGAGGCAGCCGGTCAATGACTCTCTCACCACTGATGTTTCTCTCTCTCCCCATCTCCCTTCCTCTCTCTGAAATCAATTAAAAATATATATTTAAAAAAATTAAAAATAAAAACGGAGACCGGTTGGTATGGTGAGAGTGAAAGCAGAAACCCTGAATCCGCTTGTTGTTAACCCCATTTACAGACACATCATTTTAACAGAAAACAGCTGAATTTCCCTTGGACATGAAACTTTCAGGCACCTTGATGCTGTCCCTGTGTCCTTGCAGGAGAATCAGGATGACTTTGCCCATGAACATCAGCCTTCCCGTCAGCCCCAAATCGGACGCCCACTGCCGCAGGGTCTTCACGTATCTGGTCTTCGCTCTCATGTGGTCCAAGTGCAGGAGGGTCATCCACAGCCCCTCGTCCCCTGTCACGCTCGCCTCAGCAGGACGCTCTTCAGGGCCACCTCCCGGTCCCAGCGGGGCGAGGATGTGCCTGAGGTTCTGCTGGACCCAGAGAACCAGCTCGTGGACCATCGGCTCCGGCGGAAGGGCCCGGGCTTGCTCGAGGAGCCTGTCCCTCACGGCCGCGAGCTGTGCCCGGGGCAGGCGCTCGGAGCTGACCGAGATGCCAGGCGGGCACGCGGGGTAGGCGGCCGGCAGGTGGAACACCAGTGCCAAGGGAATGTCCGCACCCGCTGGGCCCTCGGCGCATGTGAGGATCCTGAAAACGGTGCCCTCGGTCTCTGCAAGGCATCCAAAAGGACCGCTCGTTAGCTGCGTGGCACTCGCTCTGACCCGAACACCAACAAGTCAAAGTGCCTGTTTCCTGTGCCAATGTATTTTTCAGATGAAAACTGAGTTCTCTTTGGAAGAGATACACAAGTGAGAAGCCCTGACTTACAGGTTGTTTCCTTCGACCCGCAGGCACATTCATGGATTCCGCACACGGGCCCCCAGGACCTCACCAGACCTCCCCCCACTTCTATTCAGGTTACCAGAAAGATTGCCCAGCATAAAATGTTTTCCTTCCCAGACTTAACTGATTCTGGAAACCCCTAATGAACTCGTAGGAACCTGCAAAGATATGGCACCATGTATTTATAAAATCAGTAAATAATTTAGAAGTTCCCACTCAATCCAGGGAGGGTCACTGGTGGCTAGCCCACAGCAAAGCAGACACTGGAATCTTGTGTGGGAGTCGGGGTGCCCAGGGTCATAACTGTCCTGGCCCAGCGACGGCCCGGACTCGCCCTGTCTCACTCCAGACCTGCGAGGATCAGTGTGAGTGAGGGTAACGGTCACAGTGGCAGCAAGGAGACGCCTGCTTGGGGGAGGCCAGGAAACACCTGGTGGTGTCAGAACCTCCTGGTAGCAACTTCTGTCCTCTGACCCGGGCTGACGTGATGGTGGGGGGGGTGGCCGGCAGCCCAGGGTCTGTCTACCGTGGCCTGGTACAGAAGCCCTCACCTTTCCCTCCACCCCCAGCTGCCAACATCACACGGCCCCTTTTCAATCACCGAATTGTTCTATTCTCCGATGAACCTCTCAGCAACAACATGTCCCAGGCTGTTACACTGAATTCCTTTAAAATTCAATTACTTATTGATGCCAGAACACAGAATTAAATTAATTAGGAGACATGGCTTCAAAGTCACGCTTAATTAAACAGCAGACAAAGGCCCATAGTGCTCTGGATACTAAGAAATGGTGCTCTCTTCCTACACTTAACTTTTTCTGGTTTTCTCTGACCCGTCAGCAGCACCCTACAGCCGGGTCGTCACAACCCAGGTCACTGCCACTCAGCCTCTTTCGGGAGTGGTGGGAAATCACGGGTGTGATCTTCCAGAATATTGCCAGCTGAGCCACAATAAAGGGATTTGGGGAATCTGATGACCGCTGCCAGCAGGCTGCCTCAGGCCAAAATAATTGGCAATAAGAGGGCAGTGGAGACAGTGGGTGAGAGGAGGAACTGGGGATGCCACCCAATCAGAACAGGTGACAGGAAACAGGATGAGGGAGGAAATCCTTGCATATGGATTCTATTTTATTTTTAAATTCGGTATCATCATATTTTGTCAAGTTGGCAATTTAAAGAATAATGCTTTGCAGTAAATTATGATGATATTATTAAGCATAAACTTTGGTAGAATTTGTTAGGGATAGTTGGGTAGCATGTATCAATTATCTGTGTTATTGACTAATTCTGCTTCTAGAAGGTTATTCAAAGAAACAATCACACGCATGCCCTCTAACATAGTTTTATGATAAACATTTAAAAGTAAAAAATTAAAGCTATGCAGTTACTATGATTGGATAGAAATGATTTTTATAAGAGAAAATTTGCAAACAATTTTAATTTTTTTAAAGAGCAATTTGGAAAAATAGGTTGGTATTTTATAAGATAGAATATTATATAGCCACTGAAAATCCTACTATCAGATTATTTAAAACAACTGTTGAGGACGATACAAGGCAGGCTAAGCTCGCCCTGGGCACTGTGGCTAAGTGGTTGGAGCCTCCGCCCACAGCACTGCCCATGGAAAGGTCAAGGGTTCGATTCTCCCTCGCAGGCTCAATCCCCCACCGGGGCACGAGTGCGAGGCAACCAATCGTGTCTCGCTCACATTGGTGTTTCTCTCTCTCTCTTTCTCTCTCCCCTTCCCTCCCTTCCACTGTCTCAAAAAAATTAATGGGGAAAAAATATCCTCAGGGTAGGATTAACAACCACAACAAAAAAGACAGGCCGGCCTGCGTGGCTCAGCTGTTGAGCATCGACCTAGGACCCAGGAGATGGGGGTTCGATTCCCGGTCAGGGCACATGCCGGGGTTGCAGGTTCGATCCCCAGTCGGGGGCGTGCAGGAGGCAGCCGGTCAATGACTCTCTTCATGGATGTTTCTCTCTCCCTCCCTCTCTCTGAAATCAATAAAAAAAATATATGTATATATAAAAAAAAAGGCAGGCGAGGCTCTCAGGAGAAAGCAGGCCCCTTCCAGTAACTGGTTCCCAGCCTGGGGCACAGCGGTGCTCTGGGAACCTGAGTGGACGATAGAAACCGCCCGTGAGAGGAGCCGACGAAGACACGCGTGGGGCCCGGGAGCCGCCTCGGTCCTGGGCAGAGGCGCCCGCAGCTCCCGGCGCACAGCCGGCTGCGCCCAGACGGCCAACTGCCACTGGGGGGGGGAGCGGGGGGGCACTGAAAAGCAGGCCGAACCCCACACGAGAAACTTCCACGCTGTGTCCCAGAGCCCAGCGGGAATGGACGGCCGTCTGCACCGCGTCCTGCTCCCTAAAGCGCAGTTTGGGCTTTTAAGGCGCAGACAGGGACGGGGGCGGTGTCAGCTGCCCCCCAAAAACCAGCCCGGG